CCCTATTTTCAGCAGCTGTCACCAGTGTCTGTGTGGGTGAGATAAAGTTGCAAAGTGTTTTGGTGCTGCATGCTGGCCTTCTCCTGAGCTGGTCCTGGGAGCTTTGTGATGGTAAGTTACAACTTCATCAGGAATGCTTACAGTATAACTTCACTGCAGTTCCCTTTTGACAGCAGTGGCCACAAATATGATGCCTCCATAAATCTGCTTTTCACCTTAGTAGGAATTGTTGCATCTACTCAGGCCATGACATTGCTAATAATCCATAATATGAGGCTGAAGCAAGTCCAAAGAATTGCCTTGGTGTGACTCTTAAATATGGCATAGGATTTGTGATTCAGCTCTTAGGATTACATTTACACAGGTGGGGGCATGGGAATAAAGGGAACCTCCAAAGCTTAACATGAGCATCTGGATGGGATGGTAATGAAGTTTCACTGTGGGAGAGATTTTGAAGGCATGGAGATGGCATTGTGAGCTGCTCTGAAAGCTGCCGATTGTTGTCAGTATGTTGACAATTATTTTCAATTTGTTTTGTTTTGGTTTTTAATTGTGAAAATGTTCCCAGAAGCTTAGTAAATGAGGATGTGTTCTTATAAATATTGAGCTAAAGTGTAAAAGCTCACATGGCCCAGCTTTGGTTATGAAACCTACTTTTGCAGTTGGTGTCATTCTGCCCCTTGAAGGCCTGTGTTCAGAAGTGGTGCCTCTAGTAGTAGGATGAGGGTATTTATCTCAGCCTACAGTGAGATAACACTTAGAGTATGCTTCTTTTAAACTGCACATGCAGCCTTATAAATGGATTTAATCCCATTCCAACACATGGCTTTGGTTTTGGACATAGGATGCCAGAAAACAACAATATATTCTGTATGATATTTATATGCTGAACCAAAAAAACCTAGCCTTCACAACTTAAGATCAGGATTGTGCTTGCAGACGTGTTTTGTAGTTAGTTTTCTTTCATCTCTTAGATACACTCTTTTTCAAAGATGATGGAGATTGTTGAAACTTCTGGTTGTTCATTGCGTTCAAAAATTGTTTGTGAAATACCACCTCGAGTGGATCTAAGAGATTTCCTCCTCCTTTTGTGCATGACCAAGATCAAAATTAAGTGACATCCTCACCATTATTTAATTAGCTATTCCCAATAGTGTAATGGGGACATGGCAGGTCTGGGTAACCATCCCAGAGCCAGTTTCTGAAAGCCAAGTGTGCTCTGACTAGGGCTGAAACAAATGGAAAGTTTTTAGTTTTTTGCTCACATATTTACAAGACTCTTATGGAAAATGTGGAACTTGTACCCTTATGTTATTTACCTGCTAATAGCATCTCTGTTCTTGCCTGTACAGTGAAAGACAAAATAATGAGCAAAGAGTAGACTAGAGGCTTGAATTCCACTTGATTTCTTGATGACTCCAAGGAGCCCTCCAAATGAGTACTCCAAATGAGTACTGCTTAGAGAGTAAGTTACCCCTCATTGTGAACATAAGTGGCAGAATTTAGCTCTTTTGTTTCTGAAAACCCATGTTTCTAACTCTATGCATTTCAATTCTGCAAACTATTTATCATGGCTAAAGAAATTAAACTTGCAAGAATGGTAACTCTTGCTTTGCTGCTGATAAAACTACTACAAATACTTTTTTAATTGCAAAAATAACTCCTGATGTCTTGTGCAAAGCAACACCTTGATTTACAATCGTCCAAGATTCAAAGCATTCAAACTAATCTGTGGGAAGGAAATACATTAAGAGAGGTTATTAGGAATTCCTCTCCTTATGGGTTTTTCCATGTCTTCTGTGGTCCATCTGTGAAATGGACCATAAGGGGGAAGCACAAGGAGTGGGAGATCCGCATAGTGGGAAGACAAAAACAATGAAACCTCAATGAATTGATGATGAAAGGAAGGGAGACAAAAAGAATCCAAAGTGAGCTGTGGGTGAGCTGGGGGAAAAGAAAGGAGAACATAGTGTCTGAATGCCCAGAAGAAAAGAAGGGGCCACAGAACTGATGGCCAGTTAAACAAAAATGAGGAAACAAATAAATGCAGAGATCAGCAATAGGCTGATGTAGTTTGCAGCATGCAGAATTACAGAGTGTGCAGACAGGAAAGGAATATGTTTTGCCTGTTGTGTTTTTATTGAGTAGGACCTTGTCCTGTTTTCAGCTGGGACGCAGGTAATTTTCCTCTTAGCAGCTGGTACACAGCTGTGTATTGGGTTTGGGATGAGAACACTCTTAGTGCACTGATGTTTTGGTTGTTGCTGAGCACTGCTTGCCCTAAGTCAAGGACTTCTCAGTGTCTCCTGCTCAGCACTTTAGAAGCAAAACAAAGGAGGGAGCACGGCCAGGACAGCTGACCAGAACTGGCCAGAGGGATATTCCATACCACAGAGCATCATGCCCAGTACACCAGCTGGGGGAAGCTGGAGAGGGGCTGACCACTGCCTGGGTTTTGGTCAGT